CATTTTCCCTGTGAGCTGGCAAAGCTTTTTTTTTCTTTCCAGCTGGTAAATCTTAATATCCAAATATTGTTTTAAGTTTCCTTTTTAAAATTTCATTAAACATTTCTCATTAGAATAACCTATAAATAGGATTCAGACCATCGTCTATGGGTTATCCTGATTAGGATAACCGCTCATGATATCAGGATGATCCCCGTATCGAAAAGTTGCTTTAAAAACCTGGAATCTGAAAACGACTTTCGGTCATTTTGACCAAATTTGACTCAGTCTGTGGTTTGATGTGATGGCCCACYAATARACATAGTTTGTTAGTGCAAAACATGTTTCTGCAGCAGTTTGAGTTTCCCAAATTGGATGCTTTTTACAAAGTGGTGCTATATTTCTTATTTTCTGATGCTCTTTCAATTAGGCACATTTAGTTTGTAGTTTAACACTTCAAATCTTTAGTTGCTAGATGAGCCATGAGAAAACCAAACGTGATGCTGAGACATTTCTGTGTGTGAAACAAGTATTGCAATGAGTGTAGCGAGTCTCCAGTGTCAGTCAGTATCCAAGAGGCTCTGAGACTTGACATAATGAAGGTCAACTGAAGAGGCAACAGCAGCCATTCTGTGACCACTGGTGCTACTCAAACTCAATAGGAACTATTTCCGTCCTGAGGGTGCGTGTGTGGGGGGGTGAGAATGACAGAGTGTCTCTCAAAGTGAGCCTTTGGTGTTTGCAGAACAGATGCACCGCAGACACATCACACGTCTCCCGCCTTAATGCTTCCCTCTCATCAAAACTACAAAAAACAACTCCCATTTCTTTTTTGCACTCATTATCTCTCACAGCCTCTCCTCTTGCCTTCATCTCAACACGGCAACGTTAACTTGTTCATAAAAACATGATGCCGCAACATGGCCCGATTCTAAACCGCTAACTACTTGTACCCCATCTGTGATGTTTTACAAACGCATCTTGAATAATTCAGCATATCCTCGTCTGTATAATGGCCTTTGCTTTGCAGACGGTGCCTGGTTGCTATTTGCTTCAGCGCATCTCTCATTTTACGCCTGTTTGTCTTTGTTCCTCTCTCTTTTTTCCCCCCTTTCCTTGCTGTTTGTTTGATAGCTAATTGGTGAACCTTTAGACCTGTTTACTTTTGTGTTGTTTGGAATCTTAAACACAYAGCACACTTTTTACTTTTTGACCCCCTGTGATTAAAGGAATGTTAAAATCCAATATTCAAGATGAAAAAAAAACAACAACATAAGACTTTAAAAAGGTGAATTCATCCATGGCAGACACATTACAAATTTAGTTTATTCATCAAATCATATAAAAGAACAAAGAACTACTTGCCCTATTGCTGGGTTTTTTTAAACCCATGTTTATTTGTGCAAAAATATACGACTTAGACACACCATAAGTCTAAAACTATAAACTCTTATCTGTGATCTGTGTTTGCTCTAGCAGACATAACTTCTCAGAGCAGAAGGCAGCAGTGGAATATATGTTGGCCCAGTTGGACGAACCAAACAACAACACAACAGTGGTTGGGTTGTTTTTCAGTAATGTCACAAAATGGCTTTTATTATGGCTCTCAGGTAATCTGATTGCAGTGGATAGCTCTCAGCACATCGCTGCACACCAGCTTTAAACATTCATATATGCGTTCGTACATACATTGTGAGTCGCAGGTTGTGATCGGATCAGGCCAGTCGCTCTATATGCAAATGACGATGTAGCCTGTGTCARAGATTCAGGCGTTAGCAGAGCAACAAACAGGTCGTCTTTTAACCAATGTTTCTGTAAAATACCTTATATTCTGACATTAAAGCATTTTAGATCCCCCCGTGTCACAGCCACAAACACTTTGTAAACCACAGTTACTCCTGTAATACATGGTATATTGTGCGTGGCGTATAATGTGCAACACTTCCTGCTCGCGCTCTGACACCTTCCTGAACGTTACATTGTTACAACAGTATTTCTGAGGAGGTGAAATGTGCTCGGCTTGGCTTTAAAACAGTCTGGGTAAGGCTGACATAAAGGTGTCCACCGCAGATTAACAGGACACATGCGTTGGTTGTGCACTGTGCTCGCAGTTGCTTTGTAAAAATGTGCCCGAAGCACATAACAGGGCTATAACTGCATAAATTAAAAACAAGACAGTCTAACTGTTGAATTTGAAATTGAGAGCTATGCAAATATTATATGGTTTGTTTGTTTTGTTTTTCAAGCAAACTTGAGCAGCTAACCAGGTGCATTATTCAAACTGAAGTGGTGGACATTAATGGTCAAATTTATAATACAGTGGTATACAMTATTCACTGGATGTATTTGCCCAAGATCAAATTAAAAAGTTAAGATTCACATTAGAAAATGCATGTTAGAAACTGCTTGGAAAGTATTTAAAACTTTTTAAGCTTGTAAAAACTAAAAGATTATTGTTTTTAAAGGTTGCAAAAGATCTTAAAACAACAGACAGGATTTAGGAAAGTAGTTTTTGCTTGTGACCACATGCTTTTCACACCACAATCATTAAAATTTCATTTGAGTTTAGGAGCCTTGTAAGAAAATGTTCCAGTTACAAACACTTCTACTTTTTTTTCTTTTTTTAAGTGTGAAAAGCAGTATTCTCAGTTATTTTTTTCAAATGTTTTTGCATACCAAAAAGGGGGGAAAAATACTGTATATTTAAGTTAAAGTTTTTTAATCTTTTGTATAAGAAGTGAAAGTCATTCCTTTTCAGTAATGTAACTTGGTTTGTTTATCTCACACGAGACAGTTGTAATGTAGTAAAGGTTTTTCCTCTACTCTCATGTTTGGACAGACACTTGCTGCTCACAAAGAATTGAATTATAGTTGGAGCGTTCTTTGCCACGTATTGCAGAAATTGTCCTGAGTGTGTGTGAGTCTGTTTGCTCAGACTCACCAGGGATTTGCGAAAAATGGCCTTTTGAGTGATTTGATGTGACAGCTCCTTCCCTCTGTGATTACAGCTGTTAATTTGTCTCGTCTGTCAGGAGAGCTGTTTTTTTTTTGTGTCTGTTCTGTATAAATCACCGGTGGGATGCAATGGAAAATTAACACTTCCTTTTCTGCAATGCAAGCATTTGCCTGGCCGTCAGCAGAATTTGTAAGTCCTGTCTGAGACGTCTGGAGYAAGGACAGTGAGACCAAAAACCTGCATGTCTGCAGCTTCCTGCTCAAACCTGCACTCAGTTTTCACAGCTACAGCTCTCTGCTAATTATTCTTTGTTTTGTTTTCCTTATACCTGTTMCCTTAGTAGTAAAAATTGAGAATACGGTGCCTATAAATACGCTAGAAAGGGGAAGGAAGTACAAAAAAACTCTGCTTGCGAAGGGGCATGCTGACCTTTATTTGCTTAAAGGAGACCAATTATGGGTCCTAGAAATTTTTATGGTATGTRTGTGGGCTATCCAGACCATGTTCATTCAATTTAATGCACAAAATAATTCTCAGATAATAAAATTTCCCATTTTCTAGTTCTGCCTGCTCTGACTTCCATTCAGAAGAGCTGTTTATGTTAATGAGCTCTGTTGGTAACGCCCTCCAAAAATCTGTTGACATTAACTCCGCCCTCCAAAGCCAGCGTTTATGTTAGCATGGCTAATAATAGCAGAAGCTTCGTTGTACAACCATTTGAGACCCAGAGGCAGAGTCATGGTCCCAGCTTCCTTTTTTCTCTCTCTCCCTCCTCTGCTCTGCGCTCACTCTGCATGCTGTTACCAGAGCAGGGAGCAGCAGCGGTCAAAATACCTCAGAAACTTGAACAAATAGGCTTTAACAAGGCTTTAATAAGCTAAACAATAGAGGTACATGAGAAAACGTGTTCATAACGAATGAAAATAAATAAATAAAATTGTGTCCATGCCAGTCTCAAACCCTGGTGTCCCACTCTCTGGTCCAACACTCTACCCATTGCCCTATTGGAGACTTGTTGTGAAATGAGCTGCGCATTACACAACATGGTGACGGCTTTTTATACTGAGGAGGTGGAGCTTCATCCGGGGGTTGCTAGGTAAGGGGCTGAATGCAGGTTCCGGTGGGTTGTCGTACGGCTTGTGACATCACAAAATGACGGAAGTATAAAACTTGTCGTTAATATACATTAAAAATATACATGTATTTACTTACAGTAAATATGCCCCTGGGTGCATTTGTTTGGTCCTAGGACTGTTTTTTTAAGAAGTACATACCCAAAGTTGAGTAAAAAAAAACTTTAAAAAAGGAATTTTGCATAATAGGTCTCCTTTAAAGATGGATTGAACTGTATGATATGACTTGCTTTTGTCCCCTGTTTTAATTTAACTTGCCTTTTTGCTAAGCCTGTTATGTCTGGTCAGAACCTCCCGGGTTAAAATGCGCTGCGTTCAATTTACCAGCTGCGCTCATTCATGCAAGCAGCTGGCAAAGCCGTAGTTAAAACAAATCAGCACGCTTGCTTCAAGCTGCTTAGTTGATTTCCCAGTGGGAGCAGCATTACTAGCAGCTCCTTCACGCCTCAGGGAGTAGTTTGATTAATTACACCAGGAATAATTATTCATTGAGGAGCTGTAATGCGTCGCAAAGTGTTACAACCTCAACCCGATACTCTTTGTTAGTTACTTCAAGTGATAGTAATTAGTTTGCGTATTATCAATGCAGAATGCTGCTCTCTGACTGGGCAGCTGATTGGAGATCAATTGGACTTGTAGGAGAATAAGAAAGGGTCTGCTTAAGTCGAGCCAAAACACAGTGATGGAGTCAAATTATGACCATTATTTAGCATTGCTGGCAATCATTGGTAATATGTTGCATAACAGCCTCAGTGAAGTTGCCCATGGTTTAGTGAGCTCATAGCCAAGAGAAGGTGTTTCAATGGGGGATTCTTTGAATATGTTGGAATTTCTTTGACTCCCAAACACTCGTGAAGAATGTTAAAAGGCCAAATTTGATTATAGTTCATCGAAAAAAATCATTGCTATCTGGTTTGCTAAGAAAGTAGATTTTGTACACTTTATTGTTAAAGCTACAAGACCGTGTTGAAGGAATTTAGTTTCTCTGATCATAGTTACCAGTTTTATTTAAAACATTAAGTACAAGGCTTGTTGGACTGTAGCCAACCTCCCAGAATGTGGACACACAAAGAAATACAGCCCCAGTTTGACCAGACTGATGGTGCAGATGGTAGAAAAACGCAGAGCAAACTAGTCAGTGGGCTAGATTTAGCTTTTAGGTTATTTGTTACTGATCCAGTAACATAAGGAGTTTTTCCATTAAAAGACTCGACCCGGCTTTACTCTACCCCAGGTTGTGTTTGCATGGAGCACAGAGCCGCCTTGATGTGGGTGGGATTATAATATTAATACATACTGCATGTGTGATCTTATTTTGTTTTGTTTGTGACACAACAATAATGGACTACACCAAACCCGAAGGAAAAGTACTGATTATTAAACCAGACCATCCACTAATAGTAGCTAATGTTAGCTTGTTTAGTTGGTTGCTACTGTTGTTGTGTAGTTAAAGTTGGATGCAAAAAAAGTTAGTCGCTGCAAACAATTCATGTAAAGTTACTCTCATTTGTGACGTAACACCCCCCCACCCCACCCCCAAGTCAGTGAACCAATCAATAAGCAGCAGTAGCTCACATTGATTATTATTGCTATCTTGCTTATGGATTGGAACCCCATAAATCAGGGTGGACCTGGACCATAAGGGCTAATAATGCACACAGGCCTTGCAGTGCAGAAAGGTCTATGCATAAGTGTAAATGTGCTCTTTAKTAAAACTTACCCATTGCTTTTTCTCTCTTGTTTCCAGGATCTGATGGCCAAAGTGCGAGCCATGCTTGCCTCCTCCAAAACCTTCCAGCCTCCCACGTCCTAAACAAGGTGTCGCCTGCTTGACAAACTCTGACACTCATGAGCGCCATCTTCCAATTTCCTCGAGATTCATTCGGCCTGCATTTTATGTCTGTCAGCGCCGTCTTTATCTGTGATTTATACTTTCATTTCAATACCAGCATCAGCAGGCTCAGTTTCACCACAGCATGTCTTCTGCTGTGGWTAACAGCCAAAGTAAGCTGGAGCTGAAGAGCGTCTGGTTTCACACCCGACTAGAGAAAACTGGTTATTTGCGGGGGAGATTTAATCGCAGTTGAAATGTTTTTTTTTTTTTTTTTGCGCTGCAAGAATCGTGAAAATAATCCACCTGTTTTATTTGTTGCATCCTGTTTTTCATGACAAGCTCATAAACGATGACAGTCATTTTTCTGTGCAGCTTTTTACGTGGAGCTGCAGTATTTACCTCCTTCTATGAAGGTTTGTTTGGATCATTTTCTCCCTTCTTTTTTCTTCTGCTCTCTGCTGGTTCCCCCACTGCCTTTCTCTCCATCATTTCACCCTTCAACTGGGAAAAAAGGCTTTAATTTTTTATTCTACCCCTCAGCTTTAGTGCGTGGCCTTCTTTTTTTTCTGTTTCAAGTTTGTACTGTAAGAAATTGAATGCAGAACAACTTTGTAAACTTAAACAGTCAATAAAGTTTCAATCGTGATTTAATTGTGGTCTTATTATTTTCTTGTCAGGAGCTCCGTCTTTCTGTTTGTCATTCATTTGTGATGTTCTGATAAGATAGCGGGAAATAATGTTTACTGGCCCCGAGGCTTCACTTCCATTGATTATATGAAGTTTACTCACACAGCAGCCTCCAAACCCTAAAAGGTGGATCGTCTGATACTCTCAGTGCACCTGCCATTGCTGAGATGACACCCGAGTGCAGCTAAACCAATAGCCAGAGGTTGTTGGGAAACTCGCAGCTTGATGACCCGAGCCTGCGTTCCAGCTCATAAAAGATAAGATCTTCAGACTGGTGATGTTTGTTTAAGGCCAAGCTGAGTCCTAAAAGTAATCGATAAAATTTCAAGACAATTCTGATGCAGACAGGTGCTTTTCTTAACTATTTTTAAGGTCTGTGTTTTCAGATCTACCTGTCGACACGGTGATATTTAAAGAAATATTAACACCTGACATTTCACCAGCTTGAAAAATAATTAGGTCCAGGACTTCTTGCCCCAAAGGTTTTTCCGACAATCAGGATGTTGGGAAAACCTACAAAAACTTAATCCAAAATGCTGCTCCAAGAGTTCTGATTAGAGTCATGCAACCTTTTATAGCTTCTCTGCAATGGCTCCCTAAAATATATTTTATTTCTAACATTTAACAACAAATTTAGTTTGTCGTAAATATCTTATTGGTCCATATTTACTTGACGGACAACCTTGCTCTCAGACTGCGGGTTMGTTTGTGCTTCCCAGAGGTTCAAAAAGTAGACATTTCTTTTCTGAAGTAACCGTTTGATGTAATCTGTTGGTTTTCTTTTTGTTAACTGGTACTTTTTAATATTTTTTTTGTTAAACTATAATTGGGTTGAACTGACTACTGCTCTGCGATAACTTTTCTTATGAATTGGTGCTTTAAAAATAAACTAAATTGAACTGATTCACCCTTTTGCTATCAGAGAAACTCTACGTGAACTTCACATGAGAAGCTGCTTTGAAGCTCATAAGAACCATAAATACGTCCTCTAAAGCGCTACAGAAACAGTTGTCTGCAAATTCCCAACATTAAATCTCAAAATAATTAGAGGAGTCACATGGAAAGAAGTTAAAGAGCTTTTCCTCTAACAGCTAGACTTTTTCAGTAAGCAAATCACAAGTCTGTAATCAGCCAAATTTAATTAAAATCATGTGTGCCTGTTGAACAAACTGCTACAGATAAAAATTTCACAGGCAGCGCTGGAAGAAAATTGGTATGGAACCAACGTTTCCAAATAAGCTGTGGCTTCTGCTCAAACTGAAAGCTCTGGATGTGATGACATCATGGAGGCGTTGGAGGAGGAGTGGCACAGTTAGAGTAAAACAATGTGTATAAACTAAAAGAAATGACTTTTTTAAGGGACTTTACTAATGATGCTGATATGGTAGCTTCATTCCAAGCTTATTTCTTTTAAAAACCAGCTGTTTTGAAACCATTCACTCTAGTTTCTGCCATGTTGCTCGGTGGGATTTGTGCTTCTCACCAGGGAATAAGCTTCAATAACTGAGAGCTGGTTGTCACGTACGGCAGAAAGATGCGTCACACAACAGTAACATTTCTTTTTGGTTCGGGGGGACATTGACCACTTCAGAGGCAAGAGGCTCTTTCAGAAGTTTCAAAGATGATGTCATTCTTTTCTGTGCTTTTCTGTTTTGAACTAAAAATGTTGAAAATCTGAAAAAAAAGATTACAGGAAAAACTGTATCAGACTGACACATTAGTAACTTCTCTTCTGCAGTAGTTTCACAGCCTGATAAATAAGTATAAGTGTTGATGTTACATATTTCTATCAGGAAATGTCTGGCCTTAAAACCGTAAAGCACGTAGGTCAAAAACTCGGCGAACACTTCATCTGGCCAATCGAGTGTGTGAGAAAGGACACTTGCTTCATCATTTTTGCCCTTTATGTGTCGGCACAGCTGCACTGGCTTTGATAAGAAAAGCGAGTGATGCCTTATGCTGCAGTTTGCAAGTGGTAATTGTGAGCTACCCCAGTGGAATAGATAAGTACGAGTCAAAAAGTCTCCATAGAGGCAGATTTATTTGAAAAATGAGCCCATATCCCTTTATTACAAGACAGTCTTAGCCCTTCTGAGCACGTTTGAAGTTTGTTTAACATTCAGCCCTTTTCCGTCAAAGGAAGAGGAGAGATAAAAGAAAGCTGATACTGTAAACTTGTTTAAGTCATTTCATATTTTTGGCATCATTTTGGCAAATGGAGCAATATCGACTACGGTCATGTAAGCAATAAGCTTTAAAGAGAACTTTTCAGACATCCACAAAAAGACTYCCAATCTTTAAACTTACCGGTCCCCCGGCACACATTGTGTATGCTGTTAAGTGCCAGGAGGACGGTGATCAGTTATACARCGGGGAAACAAAGCAGCCACTGTTCAAAAGGATGGGCCAACACAGAAGAAAAGCATCATCAGGCCAGGACTCTGCAGTTTACACTAATCTACAGGCCATTTGTCACTCTTTTAGGGACGAAGATGTTCTCATCCTTAAAAGAGAGGAATGTTGGTTTGAGGGAGGTGTACAGGAAGACATTTTTTAGGAGAAACCATCATTAAACAGAGGTGGAGACCTTCGTGTCCAGCTGTCCCCTCCTACAATGCTGTTATCACTGTGAGCAAAACGTGTGAATCAGGGCCCTAACAATCGTTAAGGTGATGGTCCTCCATAAACAATAGAGATTATCAGGGCACCCAGAATTGATTGTGAGGCTATGGTCCTCGTTTGCATGTGAACATGCCAACAAAAGACTGTGCAGTATCCGACAGACTCTTTGTATTTATTGTTTTTCTCTCCAGTCACCAAATCAACTTTGCTGTGCAGCTAAAACCGCAAACATGTTTCAAGTCCCTAAACCTTTGGGGTCAAAACTTTTCTCCCCTACAGTTTAATGTTAGCTTAAACAGATCTATAACATTTTATTTACCCGTAACTTATTGTGTTTGGATAGATTCTTCTGCCAGCTTTCTTTTTTTATTATTATTTTATCCCAAAGAACACTATATCCAGGATGTCAGTGCACAATCTTCACAGAAGTTGGCCAATATATCAGTTCTTGGTGCAATTCTTTTGGGTTTTCAAAATGTTGCTTATTTCTTTCAATCATTTGAAGTGAGAAAATAGACATTTTTTCATTTCATCTTTTATTTTGTACATCTGAACATCTCTTTAGTTATTTCTAGGCAAAAAAAGAATGTAAAACAAAACAGAAACTAAAAAATAATATTCAATTTGTTTTTGGAGTTTAATGACAGCTGTTCAACAAACAGAAAACTAAGGATATTTACACTGCTGCTGCTCAGATAATGACTTTTACCATGTGATTGGCATTTTAAAGCAAAGACAAACTTTTAAAAGGCTTTGGACCAACCATAATGAAGATGCTAATAGCACTGAAACATTTGAGACAAARGCTCCTCAAAGCAACAAATAACCCCATAAGTCATGGGAATGGCCACCCCATTGTGCCCGTTCATACTTCCATCAGTAGTGACCAGAATAACCACAAGACCTCAGCCAAGCATTAAATCAGAATTTTATATGTAATCAAGTCAAGKTCATCACATCTGCACTGATTGATTCCAGGCTAAATTGCGGCCTGGCATTTGCAATTTCATTAACTCGCACTACCAGAGAGCGACTTCGTGCACGAGCAAGACACTGAAGCAGAAAGGAAGAATGTGTCGGGCAAAGTGACTCAGGCAAGCAGTTAAAGAGAGAAACACAAGGGCAGGAGAGTGATATCTTTGTTCTACAGGACATGAGTGCATCATAATTTAGTAGGACATGCGATGAAATGGGCGTCTGAGGAAACAAAAAAAAAAAAAAAGAAAGAAAAGGGGTGCTGGTGAAAAAGAATGGTTCCATTCCCAAAAGCAATTCATGTCTATTTTCATAATTGTTCAGCCAGACATTTCAGTGATTCAGGTTTTCTGGCAATCCGTGATAGGGTTTGACAAGATGTCGATGTACCGCGTGATTTTTCACTTTTACAGCCATTTGATGTTTAATTCCGAGGAAATACTGCTGCACTTTAGCTCAATCATAGCTCACAGTTCCATTATAAATCTGAAGCGAGTGGCTGACATGGCGTTGACAGATGAAGTGCGACTGCCAGCTATAGCAGCTGTGGTGGAAGCTCGGACAAAGGCACGGAGCTCTAATTCAGCCATGTTTAAACAGGGAAAAGCAGAAGTCCCTGTTGTGAGCACAGTCCAGGAGGAGACAAATGCAGACGTACATCTATCTACTCTTCTATCTAATCCATCTTAAATGAAAGTGGGATTTCTTTTAGGTTCCTCCTCCTGTTGCAMTTGTTGTTACTGGTTTTAATTAGAGCACTTTGTCTTTGTCTCGGACAAAAGTGCCCGAAGTCTCTCATTCCTGTAGCTTCTGTATAGTTGGCAGCTCCGAGTCTCTCCTGCTCACTCTGAGCAGAGCAGACAATCCACTTAATGTGATTACAGTCCCTAATACTCTCCCTGCATTCAGCCGGGTACAATAGATCTTCATCCACTATGGTTTGAGCTTAAAAAAAAGAACATAATTTAGTATGCACTGACTTGTTACAAGGTGTCAGTGTCGAGCCTCGAGTTCATTAAAATTTTGCTTAACTTAAAGGTTAACTGCAGGAATTTAAAAACAATGAACCTTTGAAGCATTTTAATTCCGTCTTTTTGAGCTTAGTGTAATTTGTCTTTAGTGTCTCTGGAAGGCTATGAGCAAACCTATCTGTTCTAAGCTGGATGGAGTAGACCAGGGGTGCCCAAACATTTTCCTTGAGAGGGCCAAAATGAAAATCTATCCAGGGCTGTGGGCCAAATGCAGTAATATAATACATGAAATACGAATACTTTTAAAGTAAAGTCCTTTATTTTTTAGCGATTGTGCTATGCAATGGCCCTCTTGTTTAAGTCTGTGCGCTTGGATAAAGTCTGCCATAGCAAAGGCTCATGGGACATATCATAAATTGATAAAATATGAGTTTTGTGGCCTTATAAAGTGTGCAAATCTACACGTGGGGTRAAATCTGATCTAAATATTTATTGTTGTCGTTTCATGTTTCATGTTTAATCCTAATAAATCAAAGCTAAAGTCAACAGCATGAATGAAAACTGCCTTCACTACAGCCCTTTTATATAGTCATTTGACCAATGGAAATATTGTGTTTCTACATAGAATAACAGGTTACAACCTTTTAACTTTGGCAACTGTTGGTGGGCCGAATCAAATGGCTTGGCGGGCCAAATTTGGCCCGCGGGCCCCACTTTGGGCTCCTCTGGAGTAGACTAAACGGTACAGGAACACCAATTGGAGCAGACACTATAGAGGATGTGGCCTCAGGGTAGACCAGGGACTTGCTGGATTCTGTTTGAGAAGACCTTGGAGTGTCACCAGATGGCTAAGCACCTATTTGCAGACGAACAATCTCTGGAAACATCAACATTTTTCCACAGTAGAATGTGGCAAATGAACATAAACCTTGTAGGAGAGGAGTGGGTAAAAGGGTGAGGTGTGTGTTGGGATTGGCAGAGGTTTGACTCTAAAAGTACCTTATAAAACCTATAATTATACATCTGGCAACACTGATGTCAGGTCATTAGCTGGTGCCATTTTTATTTTTTATTTTTTTCCCCAATGAGGCACGTGCACGGCCACAGTTCCATCAAAACCTAGCATAAAAAATAAGGAAAATTGTGTTTGGTAGATTTTTGTTGTTATAACAATAAATGAATGAATGAATTTATTTATTTGGGACAGTGTGCAATTAAAACATAATGTGATGCATTGCAGCAGATTTAGCCCAAGGCTAATTTACATCTGTAGTCCCATCAAACAGTAAAAATAAAACAACATCCAACAATAAAATAGAAGTAAGAGAGGCAAAAAACAGAAACTAAAAATAAGATAAAATAAAACATTTTTCAATTAAAAAACTAAAAAAAACACCCCAACCCACTCTCCAAACAAAAAAATCATGCCCACCTACAATACAATAAATCCTGTAGCGTAAGAAAGCCTGTTAATTTTTCCTTTTAATGGTGCCACATTTGTGAGGAACATGCATTTGTGAGATGAGAATTAGAAACGATTATGTGGGTTGTGCACATAAAAATTGCCAAATCTTAAGCTTATTTTGCTGTTTCAACTGACACTTGTTTAGAGCTGCTGACACCCGGTGCTGCCAATGACGTGCCTGTTATAAAATTTATATCCAAGAAGCATTGTCCGTCCGTCCATTTTCTTCCGCTTACCCTGGGTCGGGTCTCGGGGGCAGCAGCCTAAGCAGAGAGAACCAGACTTCCCTCTCCCCACTTGGGTCATCTCGTCTGGCGGAATCCCAAGGCGTTCCCAGACCAGCCGAGAAACATAGTCCCTCCAGCGTGTCCTGGGTCTTCCTCTGGGCCTCCTTCCAGTGGGACGTACCCGGAACACTTCACCAGGGAGGCGTCCAGGAGGCATCCTAACCAGATGAGTCACCTCAACTGGCTCCTCTCGATGTGGAGGAGCATTGTTACAATGAAGAAATAATCTACCAAACTCAAATCTTTATTTGAACCAATGAGCTATTCACCATGGTTAATGAATATCCGGTCTTTTAGATATTGTTACGTAATAATCAGCTATTGAGAATAGATGATTGATTCTTTTTAAAGAAACCAATTATTTAGAGATTTTCTGTTTGATTTAAATTAGTAAACTACCCCCTCACTGCTCAAATGGAAGGTCTACACCTTTAAAAGCCAAAAAAAAAAAAACAGCATCAGTCTTGAACTTTCAATATTTTTATTTCTTAATATTTGCCTGTAAGTGGTTTTAAGTAATTTTTCTGTGTTTTCTCAGGGGCGGTTCTAGGGGCACTGGCCCCAGCTGGAATCTGATTGGCCCCCTGAAGTGCTCCTGTCCTGTCACTCATCTGTCCTTTACCTGGGATTGATGATGGTGGGTGCAGTTCCATGTTCAAACACTAGTTGCGCTAACGAGTCAAATAGTAAAGTCCAGAATGAATCAAGCTTACAGAATTCTTCTTTTCTTAAGGAAATGTGAACAATCCTGTAAAAAAAAGTCTTTCAACTGACAAATGATGGACGGATTTTCTCACATGTTTTGTGTTTGAGAATATTTTATCCATGTACAGTAAAATGTATGAAAAACTGGAGAGGAGAATTACTGCAGCAAGCCATTTTCMGTACCATTTTACAATAAGGCTCCCCTTCTAGATGACTTTTAAAGAGTTTATAAGATAGGTTATTAATTAATCTGTAAAGTTTACACTTTATAAATCATTAATAAACATTTATTATGCAATAATTAAGACGAGAAAAAGAAAAAAAATGTTCAGTTTCATACCAAATAATGAGACAAATCTGTTCACGTGCATATTACATCTAAAGGTGCTATATTAAACATTTCAGACTAGAATTCTACATTGTAAGTACAATAATGATAAGAAACACATGTTTTAACATATTGTATTGTATTACTGCATTATTCACAAAGGGAGACTTACCGTGAAGTGTAATGCAGAACAATATTTATTAATGACAAATAAACATYTAAAWWTGCCAAAAGTTAGTCTTCAATGTGGAAAATCACCATTTTTAAAACTTTGTGTTGATTATCAAAATTTGAAATTATTGTTCAAACATGTAGCCACTGTCAACAATGTTGATGTATCAAAAAAGTAAAAAAAAATGTCATTTTAACACACCAAATAATCCCACCCCATCCAAAATAATGAACAGTTTTACACTTTATAATAAGGATCACTTTAATATTTGTGGATATTTATAATGCAGTAATTCAGTACAATATTATATGTTAAAATGTGTGTTTCCTAATCATTATTGTGCTTACAAGGCAGTAAACTAGTCTGAAATGTTTAATACCCAAGCAGATTTGGCTCAGTATTTGGAAAGAAACCGGACTGTTTAGTCTTTTTTTAACCTTAATTAATGCATAATAAACCCTTATTAATAATTTATAAAGTGTTTACAGATTAATTAAAAACCTCTCTATAAACCCTTTAAAAACCATCTGGGGAGCCTTATTGTAAAGTGGTACCCTCTTTTAAAAAAATTACATTACAAGTGTTTGAACATGTATGACTGGTTAAATGTAAACACCTTATCAAAACTGGGGGTTTGTGTGAAAGGAAGATGTTGAACAAAGACTTGGCCCCTCTATGAATATTGTGGCCCCTTGATGGCCCCTTACTCAGAAAAATCCTAGATCTGCCACTGCTTCAGCTAGAATACTTTATAATGGGTTTTGGGAACTAACGCTGTCAGCCGCCTAATCAGCCATCCCTCATTCCCTCGTCAGCTTCTGAGCCAGTGTTCAGTGCCAGCTTGAGTGTCTCTCTTGTCCTCCTGTCTGGCAATTTTGTCCATTATTCTATTGTACCCGCTGACACGGTCCGAAACATCATTTTTCTGACTTGATTTTAAAGTCAATTCACCTCATTTTTTTAACTTTAAAACATCATTTTTATGTAAAATTCTTTAAATCAACTGGATGTGCATGATTCCAACACTTGCTCGTGTCATGACCCTAAAGAAACCAGAGCACTGGCAAAAGTTAGTTGCAAAGTTTTGTTGCCATCTTTCAGTGATGTTTTTGCAAAATAATTTAAAATAAGCTTTTAAGATTTATGACAACGGTGGGTCCTTGTCAAAAATGCAAAAAAAGTATCCCAAGCAGCACAGTGGGATAATCACCCTCTTCAGTCCCACAGTGAGATCCAAGCCAAGATGGTGAGATAAATGGAGTGAAATCATCACATAGATGGCACCATTTCTGCACCTCTGTGGATGCTATCAAAAGAGATGTGCTCAGGAGTAAATGCTGGATTGTTGTGATGGATAGCGATTGCGTTCTGCTTTTCCCAGCCAGATTTTCAAGCTCACTGCTTCTGGCAAGGTTTAGCTTTTACGTTGGGATTCAAAAAAGAGAGATGGGGGGGAAAAAAAGCCCATTAACCCAACCTGCATCTTAGCCTGAACCACAGATTTGTAGTATCTCAGTATTTGTGCCAATGGCTTTGAAGGAATAAGGAGGGGAAAAAACTTAAATACAAACCTATTAGAGATAGTGATGCTGATGTTTGTCCAACTGCCCAAAGTGAAACAATACAGCACTGATAGACACACCTGTAACTGTTCCATTTATATTCAGCCATACATCAGCTCCCCATCCCTCATCAACAAGCAGGATAACAGCCCCAGGGATGTGACAAACAACAGATCTGAAGAATCAAAAAATAGATGGAAAACAACAGAAATAAATAGGGTTTGTGCAGAGAGTCACTGTCAAAGGCTCCTAATAGTTGATTTATAGCACAATTATAGCAGACATAATTCCTTGCACGGATAGCACACCTACAATAGCTTGAACCGTGTCCTGAATATTTAATTTGAGCTCCTTTTGTGTCATAGAATTGGCAGCTAATGTTCACAGTGACAGGATTTTTTTAATCAGTACAGCTTAATTGTCTTTTATTTCCACAGGCAGAAAGCAAACTGAAGGCTTCAGATGATCCATCTATTTACATCTGAAACGACTGTAATGTTACTGTGTTTATAAATTAAATTCCTGTATTTTATATTAAATCAGATAAGTAAACAATTTAAAAATGCATTTTATGCTTTGTTTTCATATATACCATAATTAATTTGCCAATCGTTTGATTTGTTGCATTTCTGCCTTTATGTGCAGTTGGAGTGGTGAAGCTTTTTGTAAAAAAGTGCTCTTCAAAGTTGTTGAAATGAAACTTACAGATAAGAATAAGGGCCTCAGAGCAATAAATAAATTATAAATTTTTATTATATATATTTTTTCTTTTTCCTGAGAATTTAATCTCAAAATTCTGATTTTTTTTCTCAAGAAAAATTTCAGAATTCTAAGATTGAAGTCAGAACTCAGAATAAAAAGGTACTATTTTTATGCCTCCGCCCGAGGCTGTGTGTTACCTAGTGTTCGTCACACTGTTTTGTTTACACTGTTTCTCCTGAACGGAGTTATTGATTTCAGTCAAAATTGACATATATGTTCTTGGCCCAACGAATGAAAACATTTTAGGGTCAAAGCTGAAGGTCAGGTAAAGTGATTTRTMTTGCTTGAATCTCCTTATTTTGGATGGTACACATAAGTGGTTGGTCACTGAAATTYTGGRAAATATCAAAMAGGAAGTCATGTTTACACATTGTTGATACAGTTGCATTCTTCTTGGATGCCCAGTGCTTTAAATGCAGACAAGTCTAGGGCAGGTGGAGACATACCAGTCAATGCTTTGATCGATGCATCCAGTTCTGTCTTGTTTGCTCTGTGGCCTTATTCCTCTTTTGTAAAAACCAAAATCAAACAAAAGAAAAAAGCAACATGAGAAATATTTTTTACAGAGCACAAAAGCTCYACTTAAAGATGCATTTTTGCCTTATTGGTATCATGTCCACTACAGATAGAGAGGGTAAAGTTGATCCGCTGCTGGCAGGGAGAACGTGCTGAAGCCTAAAAACAAATCTGTGGTGTGGTATATAAGCCATGCTTTAACCAGAACTGTATTATTAAAACTGTAGCTGACCAGAAAGCATGTCTTAAAGTTTCCTCTACATCTGCTTACCTCTGTGGTTCACAGCTGTGTTTTGCTCAAACACTGAGTTTGTTGCGATGCTGAGAGCTGGAAAGTGTTGGAAATGACTAACCCTCTCCATTTCTGTTTTTCTGCAAACACGTCTCTGATGTGGTGAGAGAGAGAGGAATAAAGGATTCGTCCACGTTAAAGGTTCATCTGCAGAGCAGGATTAAAGCAACAGAGGAATTTCTCCAATAAACACAAGAGTGCAGCTTTTTCCTTGAAAATTTAGCAAGTCTACTGTAATCACATGATCATTTTAGACTTATAAAGTGTTGTCCCTCAAATAGTCCTAGGATCTGACCCTCCTGTGAACCGAATATGGCCTCATCAGTTGTTTTTTATTTTTTATTATTTTTTGTTTGTTTTCTGAAACTAATTTCCATTTCAATAGACTTGGCAGAAGCTCAAGTTTCCAAAAAGGTGAGGTGGTGTTCACAGTCGATGAGTAAATGGAACAGGGGAGAATTTGTCTCGGCTTTTCCTTTCTTTAAATGCTTTTTATTGACAAAAAGCTCGAAAACCCAGCCCAGGATTAATTTAGTTTAATCAGTGTTTGACCTTTTTTTTTTCTTAATTCAATCTTACAAAGTAGTTTTCTGTTTTTCTTTTCAGAAACACTCCAGTCCAGACCTCCGTGTGGGAGACACTTCCAGGAAACAATGCAGATAATTTCCCTCTGCTGGCCAACGCACCGTCCCCATCTGCCACAGACTGAAACCTGTAGTGAGGAATCAGAGAGAATTTGAGTCAGACAGTCTTTGCTGGGAGGCACGGCCACGGAAATCAGAACACGAGTGTTCACTCAGGTGGGAAGCTGTGTGTGTGGAGAAAGGGACAAGAACATGAAATAAATTGTGGTGTACTTTTTTTTCAATAATGGCTGCTGATGATAACTGTAAGCAAAAAGGCAGAACACAAGGACTGCAGTGGAAAAGGGGCGTGTTGCTTTCTGAAACTCACAATGTAAGTTAATATTACAAAAAGGTTTTTTTGCTTTATTTGTGCAATTATAGTTTTTCTGTTGATAATAGGGCACTGCTGTTCTGTTTTCATTCCTGTTTGAATTTTACTCTCACAGCTTTCCAGCTATTTTTGAACGTTTGCTGAACGCACAATGAAAACCCAACAAACAAAAGCTTGAATGACAAATAGCTAAAAGAAGAAGACAAAAAATATTAAATAACTAATAACTATTTGCTTGCTTTTAGTGAAAAAGGTAACATTTTTTCTGTTGTGTTTTTTATTATAGAAAATCTGTTTGAAGGGAAAACCTTGTTTTAACAGATGTTTTTAGCAAAAGAAAAAAATAATATTGTTTGACATGTTTTTCAAACTTGTTTCTTAACTATAAGCAGTGGTGGGCAGCACTAATCAAATATTTAGTTCCACTAGCCCTAAAATACTAACTCAAATATTTAGGTCCCCTAAATATAAAGCACTAACGCACTGAAAATCTTAGCAAAAGCTAATWCTAAAGCACTAAAATAACCCAGTCAACCCATGAACATTCAGAKAACATGAGTCACATGTTGCCATGTTGCTCCTTATCATTGACATTCCACAGCCTTATTTGAGTTCATATATTGTCAATATATTGTCACCTAGTGCAGTGGTTCCCAAACTTTTTATCTTCTGACCCACAAAATATTCACTGTAAAAACTTGTGACCCCAAATATTGCTGGTCTGAGTACACAAACTTTGTTGACAGCCCTAAAAACAAAGGCTACACAAATATAAATACATATTGATTTATTTTTTGTTTTTGTAATAATTATAGGGAAAATATGTGGCACG